GCTGCACAGGGATCTGAGAGAGAGAGAGAGAGAGAGAGAGAGAGAGAGAGAGAGAGAGAGATTTGCTTTCAGAGTATCAAATGTCTAGACATAGAGAGGCTTTGTTATAAAAATTGTTGGAAATGAATGGAAGCAGAGAAATTCTGTGCTGATGTGAACTCATGATTAAAGCAACATCTGCAATGTTTTTGAGCAGTCAGTATGCTGTCTTCAATAAAAAAGTGACGTGACGTGACATGTGGCCAAGTATGGTGACCCATACTCGGAATTAGTGCTCTGCATTTATACAATCCAAAGTGCACACACACAGCAGTGAACACACACACTGTGAACACACACCCGGAGCAGTGGGCAGCCATTTTTGCTGCAGCGCCCGGGGAGCAGTTGGGGATCTGGTGCCTTGCTCAAGGGCACCTCAGTCGTGGTATTGAAGGTGGGCGAGAGCGCTGTACATTCACTCCCCCCACCTACAATCCCTGCCGGTACGAGACTCGAACCCCGCAACCTTCCCCAATATCCCCAATAGTGACTTTCTTTAAAAAATTTAAAGGAACAACGTGCCAGCGAGTAAATAATGACAAAATTATTCTTTGAATGATGTATCTTATTTCTTACCTTGGGAAATGAAGCCATAATGCTGATGTTCTTCAGCTTTAGGGAAATCATTGAGCTGTATTTCTGTGGGTGCCTGGGCATCTGCTTCAGTTTGTACATCTGGTCCATGTTTAGAGGGGGGGTTGGACTTATGACCACTATCAACTATAACACAGACCCAAAACTTTTGATTTATCTTTAAATAATTAAGATACTGAAAAGGATTTTGAGAAGATGGTAGAAGAGTGGCTTGGTGGTCTAGGCTTACAATTTTGGCAGAAATCTTCATCTGATCGGTCAGGGCAGTGTTGCTTTCCATCGCAGGCATAACCAATGTCTATACAGCAGCCATCATCACACATGAACTGATATCGAGAACAGTGACCTGTACACACTTTAGAGAAACAACACACACATTTGTTTCACATCCATACAGATTCAGGTTGAAGTTTACAGTTTATTTAATCCCCAAAGGACAATTAAAATGGTCAGGAAGTAGTCTGCACGTAACAGAAAATACAACTAACAATACATTAAAAACTCAAGACAATAAAAACACATGACATGACACAAAGTACAGCAGAGGGAAGAGAACAGTGTTAAAGATAATGAATTATGAATAAACAAATACGATTACATTTTAATTAAAATTACATACGACAATAATTTATGTACATATGCGCAAAAAGTGAGTCAGAGTGGATGACTAATTGACAGGCCAACTAATGCATTTCCTTATATTTTTACATAACTGATTTCAGCTGCCTCCTCAGACAGAGATCATTATTACAGCTACATCTTCCAGATTTAAGAAAGGTTTCTTTCCAACAGCTATAAGACTGCACAATAAACATATTAATCTTCAGACACACCTTGTTGTTATGATCCCAGCCTGTGTTCCCCTGTCTTGGTCTTGTGTTGGACTCTAACTTTGAAGTGTATTTTTGTTCCGATTGCTTCCTGTGTCCTGTTCCTGTTTCTCTGTCTCCCTGTTTGTCACCATAGCAATCCTTGTTAATCGCCATAGCTACTAATCACCATCACCTGTACCTCATCAACCCTTGTTTACTCGTGTATATATACCCCTGTGTTTCAGTTGTGTTTCAGTTGTCGGTCATTGCTCCTGGCTGTGTGTTCTTGTTCCTGATTGCTCTGTGTGGATTTACTCCCGTTTCAGGTCTGAATTTGTCAATTAAACTGTGTTTGCATGTGGATTTTCACTTCCAGTGTTGCCAATTTAGCTACTTTGTAGCTAGATTTAGTGACTTCCCCGCCCCTTTTGAGACTTTTTTTCAAAAGGTTAGCAACTTCTTGGTCAAACCTTATCTAAGTTCTCATCTTGCCCACTTGCCCACTGATCTACATCTTTATATAGATCAGTGAATTTGCCATTATGTGACATTTAGCTACCAGTTTTAGCTACTTTTAATTGAAAGCTGTTGGCAACACTGTTCACATTTTCAACCCTGCTTATGTTACACTTATGGCCCATATTTCTATTAACATCATTACAGGGTTGCCAACTCTCACACATTTGGCATGAGACATGCTTTCAGGATTTTCATGCTTTCTGTCTCATGCTCTCTATGCTGCCCAAGTAAATCTCACGGCAAATAAAAACAGTCAAGTGCTCTGCAGACCGACTCTTGCAGTATTTTGATGTCATACACCATTCGGGCTGTGCAGCACCGCGTTAGAAGACCTGCTGCAACCTCTTGATTGGACCAGTCTGTACCAATCACATTTTCCCTACAACAAGCAAGGTCACTCTATGTAAGCTGCTGACCCCCACCTGCGTGACGATCACCGATGTTCAGGTGGCTTTGTGAAGCGTAAGAATCGAATTTCTTTCCACATAGAGCTGGGTGATAAAACAATACCATATTGAGTCATGATAAATTTATGTTGGTAACGATGATAAGCTCTGGACATTTTTATTCAATATGGATTAATCTAACAGCATAAATAAATATGACAACATCCAATCAGTGCTTATCGCTAATAGGCTAACTCTGCATGTTCTGTGTGTCTCTGTGTGAATAAATGGTGTGGTTTCATCTCATAAGCAAGTGTAACCCCCTCGGGTCCTACTCTCACCCACTCCGGGAGGCGAGCACACTAACAAGGAGGCTAAAGACCTCAGCCTCTAGTGTCAGTCACTAGTGCACCTCTTGAGATCAGGGGAGTGAGGTTTACCTGCATGGCACCTACCAGCTGGCCTCCATTACACTCACCCCCCTAAACCTCACTCCCACCCGGGTCACGGCACCAATGTAACCCCCCGGGGTCCTACTCGCACCCACTCCAAGCGGGACTCAAACCTGGGTTACCAGCATGGGAGGTAGGCACACTAACAAGAACGCTAAAGACCTCCATTACACAAGTTCAAAACAAAATTTAGGGGAAAATAATATAGATTTCATGGGGCCCTAAATTAAAAAGTAGCTCTGTGTTTTTTAATTGTGAACAAACAAATTATCTTTATATTCATTCTCAAGGCCTAACAAACATGTGGAAAGCATTTCCTTCCCTATTAATGGTAAATGAATATTGTGAAAAATATCAATATTATATGATATGGAAAAAAAATATTGTGATAATATTGTCTACCAGTAGGGATGTAACAATTAACCGCGAGCCGGTTGAAAATCGATTCAAATATGTGACGATTCAAATCGGTTGAGATGCTAAACAAAACGCAATTCAATTAGGGGTAGGAGTTTATACACAGTAAAATTCTGAGTGTTAAATTAACACTGCTCGGAGCATATATGGTCCCACTCTAAAAGAGTGTTAAAGTAACACTGAAGCAGTGTTAAAGTTAAAGAGATAATTATGTGATTAATTAAGTGCTGATTGATCATTAGTAATGAACAGCTGCTGTTAACAAGCAGAATCACTGAAGAAAAGAGAAACACAAGAACTACAACTGACTTCAGCCACAGCCTTAGATGAAATCAACTGAAATAAAACAAGACATTAAATCTCTCAAGATTTCAGTAGAAGATAATTAAACAATTCCACAAACAGTATCACCAGCTTCATGCATTACTAACCAGTTTGACTTTTTTTGTCACGCATCTAAAAATTTCTTATTAAGAATTAACAGAGGTTTAGATGTTAATATTTATTGAAAATAATAAAATTGGAAGTCACCGTTGTGGAGATAAGCGTTTGCTTTAGTTGGGCTCTTGACCCTTGACTTTCTAACCAGTTGCTGTTATGGCAAGAAAAACCAAGCTAAAATGTGATGAAGTTATATTGGTCATTTTTTGATAATTATGTAGTTGTCATGCATAGCATGATTCACTGATGTCACCAGTGGTGATGTGCAACATAGTTTGTTATTGATCACAACTGCATTTTAAAAAAATATGAAGAAATTTAAGAAACACTTTGCACACCAGTTTAGAACATCTGTGCTGTTTAGACACACAGACATCAAGAATCAGCACATGAATCTCAACAATGGTGACGATCATCAGACAGATTCATGTTGCATTGCATTCTGGGTGCACCAATCATAACTCATCCATGGCTCCCAGCATGCATTGCGACATGAATAAATTATGCCGCTGCATTGTTTTAGGATTTTCTTTTATTCTTACTATTTGCTGTTATTTTTGTTGTGACTTTTTACTGCCTTGTTTTGTGACGTTCAGAAAAATTATCAGAATATTTTGTCACCATCGCTGAGATTCACATGCTGATTCTTCATGTCTATCTATGAGTGCCAGAATTTAAACCTCTTTTTGAGCCATATTTCTAAAAGTGGTTTGTAAAGTTTTCTCACATTGCCTCATATCATAGAACTGCAATAATACAGAAACCATAAAAGCACTACAGATAGATAAGATAAAATTCAAGCACTCAGACACATGAAACTAGTTTAACATAAATTCCTTGCCATCACACATGTGCATTATAAACACAATTGTAACAGCCAAAAAGAAACTTATCTTTACTAAGTCAAGAGGCAACTAAAGCAAACACTATTCACCAAAACGGTAAGTTGAAACAGTAAAGAGAAAATGAAGAAACAGAAGTGAGACAGATGTTTGTGTTCCCAAAACACAAACATGGGCACAAAATTAACACATGCCAGTTGTGCTAAACCAGCCGGACCACTATGGCGAGTGATAATTTAATTGTCAATTGTGCACTGTTAGTAACTTCACTTACAATAGTGTTTGTATTGCAGCAGAAAAATGGGTGCAAATAATTAGACTAAAATCTGCATTTTTATGAGTAATTAAATTGAATAAATTATTTTTTTAAGAAGAGTAGATGGAATGGGACAACCCTAAAAAGGAGTAGAGTCTGCATTTACAGGAAAAATAAATTACAGTTAATGTTTTTAGAGGAGTGTGTGTTCCTACAGGTGACAAGTTAACATCTAGGTTGCTTTTTTTATTTTTTATTGTCTATAATTTAGTGACTTACAACTGCCTGTAGACAAACAAGCTATATACTATATACTTTTTAGCACACATAAAATATTTTATATTTATTTTTTGGATTTATTTTGGTAATAAATTATCCAGTAAAAAATTTGACTTGATGGTAAATTACCTTAGAACTAAGATTTGGCATCTAATCTGCATAGACAGGAGGAAGTTTCTAAAAAGTGCATCTAGTACCACATTAATTGTATGGTAATTTATAGTATTAAGATGAAATTAAAAATTAATTGTTGGATCCAGCTAGGGGTATTTAATTGATTCAGTCATTGAAATCTCACTCCGGCTGAGAAACCAAAGTTGGCAACCCTGATTCATTCATTCATTCCTTTTATTTATAAAGCACTTTACAACTGCACCTGCAGACCAAAGTGCTGTAAAATCAACATACAACTATTTAAAATACATAAACAACAAACACTCCAAGTAAAAAAAAAAAAGCCCAATAATAGCTAATAGCCCATCAGCCCAACTCCTTGAAGGCTAATGACTAAAAGTAATTTTTAACCCCAGCTTTAAAGGCGTTTATGGATTTAATTTATTTCCCTAATCTCGGATGGCAGACTATTCCAAAGGCGCGGACCTGCAACAGCAAAGGCCTGATCCCCTTTCAACTTTAAATGAGTTTGTGGGATAGTAAAGAAACAACTTATTAGTTGATGTTAAAGACCTAGATGACTGACGGAAAGTAATAAGTTCAGACACATAAGCATAAGTTCAGACATGCACTTCCTTAAACACATGCAACAAAACCTTATATTTTACCCTGAAGTCTACCGGTAGCCATCTGAGAGAGGCCAAAATAGGAGAGATGTGTTGACTTTTCTTAGCACTCACAAGCAGCCTAGCTGTTGCATTCTGAACTAATTGTAAGCGTGAAATAATGGTCTGACAGGACCCCATGTACAAAATATTACAATAGTCCAGACGAGACAAAATAAAGGCATTAATAACCTTTTCTATCATTATTATCATAGCCTATTAAGAATATTTTAGCTCCATTTTCTCATGATCTGTACGTGTATCTGTATTAATGTGCATGCTTGCACATTTGATTATTAAGACAATTTCACACTGAGAGTGCAGAAAATTTCAGTAAGTGTTCTTGTATTGCGTTTAGGCTCGTGGTTCATTTTTGGGCCATCCTCTCAAGTTGAAAAGAAATGTTCTGCTTTCCCTTTCACCATCAAATAATCACACAAAAACTACTGTCATTGTTATAACACCTTATCTGTCATTAAATAAATTTGTTTTCAACAATATATTTTAATACAGTTAGTTATTAAGCTAGTTGATTTTGAAAATATGTAGTTTTGCACATTCATAGCACGCAAGCACACACACACACACACACACACACACACACACACAC